GTGGAGACAGGAGGAAGAGAGGAATAGATGAAGAGGAGAAGAGACAGGAGGGAGAGGAAGAGAGGAGGGAGCGGACTGATGGAGACAGGAGGAGGAGGAAAATCCATCAGAAGGATGTATAATGATTTAGCAGATTTAAAATATTTAAGACAGATCTTAAAAGTACCTACGGCACTCCAGGAACAGGGTGCCTACCGCTGCCATAGTGCTTTTGCTTGAACTGTGCGCTAATGCTGCATGAAAAAGGTTCCATTTAAGTGTGAATCAGGCTCATAGTGGGGCAAGTGAGAATCAATATACCACCAGACCAAAAAGATAGCGCCTTACAATAGTCCTTTTTTTTGTTACTTTTTTGGGGCACAGTTTTTGATTAAATCACAGAAGTAGTAATTGTAATAAGAATTGCAATATAATGTATTTTTCAATCCAATATTCTGCAACAGTCACTCATCAATGTCTCATATTCAACCTAATAAAGAGCCTTTCAAACAGCAACAATAATCTTAAATACTGTATATTTATTTCACAGTTAGAAGAAATGTTTAGCTCCATTGATTGGGACCACGTGTAGCTATATAATAACTCATATGCCTTCCTTGAAATCTTTTTACTGGACAACTCATGAAAAGAATAACAACTCAGAAAGTGTATAAGCCTCTTAGATGTCTGAATCAGGCAGAGTTACACCTGTTTCTGCATTCAAATGTTTTATTCCTAACACCATAACACTTTCTGCCAGGATTGCAATATTTTTTGATAGAACTTCACAGACAAATTTGCATTATGTAAAATGTTTGCATTATGTTAAAAACTGTTCCGTCGTCAGTATTGTGAAATAATGATAATGTTAAACTAAGATTTAAATTGAGAAAGCTGATCCGAGATCAGTGCTGCCTTTCGATCCTATATCTACACATGTTCCAACGACGCACTTAGCGACTGTTCTCTCTGCGTGGTGGTTTGGGAAACGCATATTTGGGAAACACGTGTTACATCGTTGGCTGTTGTAGGAAAGATACATCGTTAAAACAGTCATAAGCCTAAATTCCATCGCTAACAGGTAACCGTGCCCAGATAGTGACGACCAAGAAATTCCAAGGTTTTGTTTTCTGGTGGTATGAAACCTAGATAGGGATGTAGGGGCAAAAGTTTCGATTCCTGATGCTAGGAAGCCTTACATTACATTACATGCTTATTACAGCACAACAAAATCCATGTGTACGTGTGTGTATAGTGCGTATGTTATCGTGTATGTGTATGCATGTGTCTTTGCCTATGTTTGTGTTGCTTCACAGTCCCCGCTCTTCCATAAGGTGTTTTTTTATCTGTTTTTTTAATCTAATTTTACTACTTGCATCAGTTACTTGATGTGGAATAGAGTTCCATGTAGTCATGGCCCTATGTAGTACTGTGCTTCTCCCATAGTCTGTTCTGGACTTGGGGACTGTGAAGAGACCTCTGGTGGCATGTCTTGTGGGGTATGCATGGGTGTCCGAGCTGTGCGCCAGTAGTTCAAACAGACAGCTCGGTGCATTCAACATGTCAATACCTCTCATAAATACAAGTAGTGATGAAGTCAATCTCTCCTCCACTTTGAGCCAGGAGAAATTGACATATTAATATTAGCTCTCTGTGTACATCCAAGGGCCAGCCGTGCTGCCCTGTTCTGAGCCAACTGCAATTTTCCTAAGTCCTTTTTTGTGACACCTGACCACACGACTGAACTGTCCAGGTGTGACAAAACTAGGGCCTGTAGGTCCTGCCTTGTTGATAGTGCTGTTAAGAAGGTAGAGCAGCGCTTTATTATGGACATACAGTGGGGAAAAAAAGTATTTAGTCAGCCACCAATTGTGCAAGTTCTCCCACTTAAAAAGATGAGAGAGGCCTGTAATTTTCATCATAGGTACACGTCAACTATGACAGACAAAATGAGGAAAAAAATCCAGAAATTCACATTGTAGGATTTTTTATGAATTTATTTGCAAATTATGGTGGAAAATAAGTATTTGGTCAATAACAAAAGTTTCTCAATACTTTGTTATATACCCTTTGTTGGCAATGACACAGGTCAAACGTTTTCTGTAAGTCTTCACAAGGTTTTCACACACTGTTGCTGGTATTTTGGCCCATTCCTCCATGCAGATCTCCTCTAGAGCAGTGATGTTTTGGGGCTGTCGCTGGGCAACACGGACTTTCAACTCCCGCCAAAGATTTTCTATGGCATTGAGATCTGGAGACTGGCTAAGCCACTCCAGGACCTTGAAATGCTTCTTACGAAGCCACTCCTTCGTTGCCCGGGCGGTGTGTTTGGGATCATTGTCATGCTGAAAGACCCAGCCACGTTTCATCTTCAATGCCCTTGCTGATGGAAGGAGGTTTTCACTCAAAATCTCACGATACATGGCCCCATTCATTCTTTCCTTTACACGGATCAGTCGTCCTGGTCCCTTTGCAGAAAAACAGCCCCAAAGCATGATGTTTCCACCCCCATGCTTCACAGTAGGTATGGTGTTCTTTGGATGCAACTCGGCATTCTTTGTCCTCCAAACACGACGAGTTGAGTTTTTACCAAAAAGTTATCTTTTGGTTTCATCTGACCATATGACATTCTCCCAATCCTCTTCTGGATCATCCAAATGCACTCTAGCAAACTTCAGACGGGCCTGGACATGTACTGGCTTAAGCAGGGGGACACGTCTTGCACTGCAGGATTTGAGTCCCTGGCGGCGTAGTGTGTTACTGATGGTAGGCTTTGTTACTTTGGTCCCAGCTCTCTGCAGGTCATTCACTAGGTCCCCCCGTGTGGTTCTTGGATTTTTGCTCACTGTTCTTGTGATCATTTTGACCCCACGGGGTGAGATCTTGTGTGGAGCCCCAGATCGAGGGAGATTATCAGTGGTCTTGTATGTCTTCCATTTCCTAATAATTGCTCCCAAGAGTTGATTTCTTCAAACCAAGCTGCTTACCTATTGCAGATTCAGTCTTCCCAGCCTGGTGCAGGTCTACAATTTTGTTTCTGGTGTCCTTTGACAGCTCCTTGGTCTTGGCCATAGTGGAGTTTGGAGTGTGACTGTTTGAGGTTGTGGACAGGTGTCTTTTATACTGATAACAAGTTCAAACAGGTGCCATTAATACAGGTAATGAGTGGAGGACAGAGGAGCCTCTTAAAGAAGAAGTTACAGGTCTGTGAGAGCCAGAAATCTTGCTTGTTTGTAGGTGACCAAATACTTATTTTCCAACATAATTTGCAAATAAATTCATTAAAAATCCTACAATGTGATTTTCTGGGAAAAAAAATCTCAATTTGTCTGTCATAGTTGACGTGTACCTATGATGAAAATTACAGGCCTCTCTCATCTTTTTAAGTGGGAGAACTTGCACAATTGGTGGCTGACTAAATACTTTTTTTCCCCACTGTACTTCTCCCCATCTTAGCTACTGTTGTATCAATATGTTTTGACCATGACAGTTTACAATCCAGGGTTACTCCAAGCAGTTTAGACACCTCAACTTGCTCAATTTCCACATTATTTATTACAAGATTTAGTTGAGGTTTAGGGTTTAGTGACTGATTTGTCCCAAATACAATGCTTTTAGTTTTAGAAATATTTAGGACTAACTTATTCCTTGCCACCCACTCTGAAACTAACTGCAAGTCTTTGTTAAGTGTTGCAGTCATTTCAGTCGCTGTGGTAGCTGATGTGTATATTGTTGAGTCATCCACATACATAGACACACTGGCTTTACTCAAAGCCAGTGGCATGTCATTAGTAAAGATTGAAAAAAATAATGGACCTAGACAGCTGCCCTGGGGAATTTCTGATTCTACCTGGATTATGTTGGAGAGGCTTCCATTAAAGAACACCCTCTGTGTTCTGTTAGATATGTAACTCTGTATCCACAATATAGCAGGTGGAGTAAAGCCATAACACATAGGTTTTTCCAGCAGCAGACTACGATCGATAATGTCAAAAGCCGCACTGAAGTCTAACAAAACAGCCCCACAATCTTTTATCATCAATTTCTCTCAGCCAATCATCAGTCATTTGTGTAAGTGCTGTGCTTGTTAAATGTCCTTCTCTATAAGCATGCTGAAAGTTTGTTGTCAATTTGTTTACTGTAAAATAGCATTGTATCTGGTCAACCACAATTTTTTCAAATACAGTGCCTTGCAAAATTATTCATCCCCCTTGGCGTTTTTCCTATTTTGTTGCATTACAAACTTTAATTTAAATGGATTTTTATTTGGATTTCATGTAATGGACATACACGAAATAGTCCAAATTGGTGAAGTGAAATGAAAAGTCTAAAAAATATATAATGGAAAAGTGGTGTGTGCATATGTATTCACGTCCTTTGCTATGAAGCCCCTAAATAAGATCTGGTGCAACCAATTACCTTCAGAAGTCACATAATTAGTTAAATAAAGTCCACCTTTTTGCAATCTAAGTGTCACATGATCTGTCACATGATTTCAGTATATATACACCTGTTCTGAAAGGCCCCAGAGTCTGCAACACCACTAAGCAAGGGGCACCACCAAGCAAGCGGCACCATGAAGACCAAGGAGCTCTCCAAACAGGTCAAGGACAAGGTTGTGGAGAAGTACAGATCAGGGTTGGGTTATAAAAAAATATCAGAAACTTTGAACATCCCACAGAGCACCATTAAATCCATTATTAAAACATTGAAAGAATTTGGCACCACAACAAACCTGCCAAGAGAGGGCCACCCACCAAAACTCACGGACCAGGCAAGGAGGGCATTAATCAAAGAGGCAACAAAGAGGCTAATTGGTCAGCTATTTGTGCCAGTAAAGGGGGCTTTACTATTCTTAGGTAGCGGAATGACTTTTGCTTCCCTCCAAGCCAGGGAGCACACACATTCCCCTCCAGCACTTGTTCATGCCTGGCTTTGCACCGCTAACCGCCAGGGGGAGCCAGCAGTACCGCGCCCTGACGGTGCTTGAACTCACCCAGCAGATGTTAGACGCCCGCAACATGATGGCGGCGTGTGACCCGCGCCATGGCCGCTACCTCACCGTGGCCACTGTATTCCGCGGGCCCATGTCCATGAAGGAGGTGGACGAGCAGATGCTGGCCATCCAGAACAAGAACAGTAGCTACTTTGTGGAGTGGATCCCCAGTAACATCAAGATGGCCGTGTGTGACATCGCACCCCGCGGCCTCAAGATGGCCTCCACGTTCATCGGCAACAGTACAGCCATCCAGGAGCTGTTCAAGCGCATCTCGGAGCAGTTTGCGGCCATGTTCCGCCGCAAGACCTTCCTGCACTGGTTCACAGGGGAGGGCATGGACGAGATGGAGCTCACTGAGGCAGAGAGTAACATGAACGACCTAGTGTCTGAATACCAGCAGTACCAGGAGGCCACGGCCAATGATGAGGAAGAAGAGCTCAATGAGTAAGGAGAATGTGGACAGAATGTGTTTTGAAGTGTACTGTTTTGAAATGTGATATATTTGTTTTATGTCCAGAGGTCACGGAAGCTGTGGTGGGAATAAAACATTTTTAAAGGCTTTGAAACAAATGTGTTAAGTTTTCATCCAGTGGCGTTTTGTACTGTGATATGTTGTGTATATTCAAATCCGTATGTACTTTTCTCAATTCATGTTGGTTGTGGGTATGATATGTTTGATGGTTGCTGCATATTTGATTAGCACATTGGGAAGGCTGATTTGCTAAGCTTCTGCTCTAGCCTAGTTCAAAAGGAATGGAAGACAAAAACAAAGCCAAAACATGAAACTGTCTTGATTAATTTTCCCATATCCATCTTTATTTAACCTTCAACTATTGTGGTATTATACCCTTTACAATATAACATGTTCCTATTTACATCTTGGTCTGCCTCATAAAATAAGTTACAAACCTCAAGGGACTCTTCCTGGATAAAAAAAGGTCAATAGAAAATAAAAACGACACTGGTGTAAATGCGTAGTAGATATAGCTCCAGGCATTCCATTGTATGACTATGATAATGGTAAATACAGAAAATTGTATTGTCAATAGTTTGCTAATCAATTCTCCCTACATTGTGTTTAGACTTGATTTCCTAGCAGTTGTATTTAGGGGACAAAGAAAGGGAACCAGCCATTGCCAACGCCAAGTGCTTTGTTCATGTACCACAACAGACAGGCCTCAATGCTCTTATGGTGGGGCCAAATCCCCCCTCCTTCCCCTGGTTATTCACAACAGCTTCTGAGCAAGGCTTTCTCTACTTAGAACTGTGGAGCTAACAATGGGGACCTCCAGTCTGCACTCACTGAACTATTTCGAGCTATGCATGGCCGCAATGAGTCTTCCGCCATACACGTACTAGCTAACTGCATCAGTCCACTGCTAAATATTAGAGGCATTGATGTGAAAAACAGATACCCAAGTAGCCCCCCGAGAACAACTCCAGTGTGGGTGGGTGGGTGTAAACGTGCACTGTATGTATTACATTATTATTACATTATTAAGAGCCGGCTGTTTATCACCCTTTGATATTGATGCATGTTAACTGTATCCTGTATCCAACAGGGAATGGAACCTTGAAGCCCCCATCATTGAAGACAATGTTTTCTCACTGAGCTATAGCTAAGGCATTACCCCTGGGAGCACATCTATCCAGCAATGATCTTGGCAGTGTTTTCACTTAATAGTGATTCTTTAAGTGTTAGCAGATACTGTAAGTGTATATCCTGGTAAAGGATTTACTTCCTCAGAAAGTGACAGCATGGAACAAATATATGAGAGAAAGAAAGACAATTTAACTCAACAAACAACAACAAAACAATTATTTTGCTTTAGCAAGTAAGCAAGACGTTGCAACTATGGTAGAGCACTTCAGTCAGAATAGTGTGTGAATCAAACATGAATAAAATGGTATATTCTTTTGTGAGTTTGAAGAATGAAAATAACTGCAAGAGACAGTACATGCAGCTGTTGAAGACCCATGAAACACTCCCCCCCCCTTTTCACCTCACAAACCTTAAAAGTGGTTACAAGGGTCATACCATAGAGCTAGGTAGAAGGCACAACATTCTATCTGTTCCATGATGGCGTCAGTAAGAGCATGGGCAGCGCCATTGAGGACATCTCCATTTTGAAGTAGTCCATTTTCTTCTTCTACTACTTCTATGAGTTGGTAAACAAACGGAAAGGATGCATAGACCTAATGCCACCTGGTGTGTGTTGTTTGAACTGGTATAAAGCCAAGGTTGATGATTTACTGCCACCTGCAGTTTGTAAGGCTCTGTATTTGTTTTCTTAGTCAACCTTGTGTTCTTGAACGTAGCCCTGTTTCTTTGTGTTCTTGAACGTGGCCCTGTCTTTCATTTTTGTTCATTGATTTCACCTGTGTTAGTTCCTCACCTGGTCTCATCAGCTCCTTATTTAGTTCAGCTCATTCTGTTTGTGCCTTGTGAGGTATTGTTTGTTTTGACTCTACTAAGCCTTTTTAAAGCTTGTTTGTGAAACCAGTTGCAGCCTTCAGTCCTAGTTTTTCTCCTGCCTGTTTGCCTACGTATGTATGACCATTGCCTGCCTGCGACCACGATTCCTGCCTTCTGCGAAGGCAAAATAATCACCTGCTGCGCTCTGCGTGTGAATCTAAACCTTTTTCTCCCTGAGTATTCATTACACAGTTATGGAATGTTTGCTTATATAATTCATTGGCTGAACCTTCCTGATGACCTGGATGGAATTATGTGATCCATCCTTAACCAATAGGAAGTCCAACCCAGTTGACTACTTCAAAATTGTGATATTCTTCAATAGTGCTGCCCAATGCTATACTGAACCAAAATATAAACGCAACATGTAAAGTGTTGGTCCCATGTTCATGAGCTGAAATAAAAGATCCCAGAAATGTTCTGTGCGCAAAAAAAGCATATTTCTCTTAAATGTTTTGCACAAAATTAGTTTACATCCCTGTTAATGAGCATTCCTCCTTTGCCAAGATAATCCATCCACCTGACAGGTGTGGCATATCAAGAAGCTGATTAAACATTATGATCATTACACAGGTGCACCTTGTGCTGGGGACAATGAAAGTTCCCCTCACAGCTCCGTAGGCAAGCACCATGGTCTTGTAGCAGATGCTACAAGACCATGGTGTGTGCGGAGGAGCGGGGTGACGTGAGAGAACTTGGGAAGGTTGAACACCAGACGGGCTGCAACGTTCTGGATGAGTTGTAGGGGTTTAATGGCACAGGCAGGGAGCCCAGCCAACAGCGAGTTGCAGTAATCCAGACGGGAGATGACAAGTGCCTGGATTAGGACCTGTGCCGCTTCCTGTGTAAGGTAGGGTTGTACTCTGCGAATGTTGTAGAGCATGAACCTACAGGATCGGGTCACCGCTTTGATGTTAGCGGAGAACGACAGGGTGTTGTCCAGGGTCACGCCAAGGTTCTTTTCACTCTGGGAGGAGGACACAATCATCACTGGGGCCAAGCTTCCTGCCATCCAGGACCTCTATACCAGGTGGTGTCAGAGGAAGTACCTCAAAATTGTCAAAGACTCCAGCCACCCTAGTCATAGACTGTTCTCTCTGCTAACGCACAGCAAACAGTACCGGAGCCTAGGTCCAAGAGGCTTCTAAACAGCTTCTACCCCTAAGCCATAAGACTCCTGAACAGCTAATCATCGCTACCTGGACTATTTGTATTGTCCCCCCCACCCCACCCCATCTTTTACGCTGCTGCTACTCTGTTTATTATTTATGCATAGTCACTTTAACTCTACCCACATGTACATATTACCTCAATTACCTCGACTAACCGGTGCCCCCGCACATTGACTCTGTACTGGTACACCCTGTAAATAGCCTCCCTACTGTTATTTTATTTACTGCTGCTCTTTAATTATTTTTTACTTATCTATTTTTAACTCAACACTTTTTTTGTTCTTATAACTGTTTTGTTGGTTAAGGGCTTGTAAATAAGCATTTCACTTTCAGGTCTACCTATACCTGTTGTATTCGGCGCATTGAAACACATTGAATAACACATTCATAAATGGCAAAAAAATAAAATTTTATTTGATTAAATCCTAAGCTTTATTTTGCCATGTACACAGTTAATTCATCTGTGTTGCTGCTATCACGGTCCGCAAATGCGAGTGCAGTTGCTTTGTCCCATCGGAAATACTAATGCTATTTGCTTAATATTAGGAATACAGTAATCATTCTGGTATTTTAGGATAAGTGTACTATATTAATTATTGGATCACTAAAAAATACAACTTTTACATTACCGTGTAGTTTAACAATAAAATGGTCTGACAGTGAAGTGGACATACTCGGTATTCATATCCCTAAAGAAAGAAAGGATCTCATTGCAATACATTTTTATAGAAAGTTAGCAAAAATAGAAAAGATCTTGCTACCATGGAAAGGTAAATACCTGTCTATTTGTGGAAAAATCACCCTGATTAACTCTTTAGTCATATCCCAGTTTACCTATTTGCTTATGGCCTTGCCTTCACCTAGCAACTTGTTTTTAAAATTTGATGAGCAAAAATGTTTTGGGGGAAAGGCAGAAATGATTAGATATTAAAGATTTAGACCTCTAACTAAAGGCATCAGTCATTCAAATGTTATTCTTAAATCCGAACTGGTTCTCTAGCAAATTAGTAAGAATGTTTCACCCCATGTTCAAGAATGGTCTTTTTCCCTTTATTCAGATTACAACCACTCACGTTCGGTTATTTGAAAATGAAATAATCTCCAAAATATCACAATTTTTAAAACAAGCCATAGAAAGTTGGTTGCTATTTCAGTTTAATCCACCAGAAAGGACAGAACAAATATTACAACAAATATTATGGTTAAACTCAAATATACAAATTGATAAAAAAAACTATATGTATAAAAAATAAAAGTATAATCTTTGTAAATTATATCATAAATAGGACTGGTGGAGTTATGTTACACAGGCAGCTAACAAAAATATATGGAAATGTCTGTTCTACTCAAAATTACAACCAACTAATTGCAAAAATGGAAGAGGCAAGTGGAAGGGGGAGAAAGTAGGGAAATTGTCTGTCGGCCCTGATTTAAAGACCAAAATTGGCTAAAGAAAATTGTCACAAATACAAAAGTATACCAGTTTCATTTAAGGACGAAAAAATTGACAGCTGTGCCATATAGATTGCAAAATAGTTGGGAAGAGAGTTTCGATGTACCGATTCCATGGCACATGGTTTATGAACTGATACACAAAACAACGCTGGATTTAATACTCAGAGTTTTTCAATTTAAATTATTATACAAAATTCTTGCAACCAATAGAATGTTACATATAATGTGCCTTCGGAAAGTATTCAGACGCCTTGACCTTTTCCACATTTTGTTACTGTAATCAATACTCAGTGAGAAAAAGGTGTAGATTCACGGCGCAGAGCGCAGCAGGTGTTCATTTTGCCT